AGTAGGGGCAGACCGAGGGTTCAGGGTCCCCCTGACTCATGGTCCGGGCCTCTTTTGTCCTCCAGAGCCTGAGGGCTGCACTCTAAGCTTGTCTAAGCAGCTCTGGAGTGAGTGGGGGTGATTTCAGGGATAAGTCTCAACCAGCTGCCAACCACCAGAGGCATTAATGCTAGGTCTGCCTCCCTACCATTTACACTGCCAGGAGAGCGCACCCCAGAGCAGATGTTTCCTGGTTACCCCTGGTTTACTGGTCAACAGGACAAGGGCGTCTGGCTGACACTTCTGAGTGCCCCTCACCTGAAAGTCTCCGTCTGTGCGGAGAGAAAACCTGAAGACGCCATCCTCCCGCTCACCTGCACGGGCCAGTCTGCACAGGGTTTTCTGCTCGTGATCAAATTTGACCACCTGGATCATCTTAGCAACGCACTTAATTGATTCTTTGAAGATTCCTGGGTTTCCAGAGCCAATCTATTCAACAAAGCACCGCCCCCTCCGAGGGACAGGACTTTTATTGGCCCACAGCTTGGCAGTAGCTGGCAGTGGACTGAGAATCCCAGAGAATTAGGGAAGGGCTGGGAGAGGGTCAGAAGGGGCAAGCAGCCCAAGAGAGGAGATGAGGGACTCCAAGGCCCTCCCAGCATTTTGCTAGAGAGAAGTTCCAGGCCAGCCATTCCCTGCTCCTCCCTCCCCAGCCTCCCAACCACCCACCAGAAAGAACACCCCGACCCCGTCCACAGGCCTAAGAGAGAGAAGACTGGATAGCAAAGAGAAACGACAGGAGAGATGGGGAGAAAAAGGAATAAACCAACCATAGGAGGCTCTTCAATCTTAATTCATTTTATTCTACAAAATGCTACTCAATTGAAAGTGGAAAAACTAACGAAAAAAAAAAAAAAAACACCGCAAAGGAAAAAAAAGTTTTAATATATTCTGTCTTCCATAGCAGCAAGCTTTTTCTAACGAGCTTTCTTTAGTGCAAATACTGTAGGCTTGAATTACAGTAAAATAACAAAACATAACATCCACAATAAACACCACCAGAGATGCTTCAGAGCAGAGCCACTCCTCAATTTTCAAAACTGTACAGACACTGTTGAGCTCAAGGTCCTGCCTGGAGAGGTCGAGTTGTGAGTCTTTCCAAAGGGACCATGCCACCAATATTGAAAAATAAAAGAAAAAATATGCTCCACAAAGAAATGAAGTTCCCCATTGAACTATAGGAATCTTGTACAACTTGTTTGCCTCCAGGATCTCATAGCAGACTTCACGCCACATCATTGACATATCTCAATACAGATGCACAAAGCTTATGATTTTCCACTATATACCAAAATACTATATACATCTCCCACTGCAGAAAAGACACCCTGATACCTAGTCTTTATACAAAGGCGCATATTTTCTTCCTTGACATCAAGTAACCACCACAAACTAAAATAAATGGAATAAACTTTTAACCATACAGAGAAAATATATTTGGAGGAACAGGGCAGGATCTCCCGTGCTCTGCAACAATACAGACTTCTCTGTCACCGCTGTCCCCAGAGGAATGATAAGCCATCTTTAAAAAGAGAATCTTTAAGACATTTTTTACAGCATAAGTCACAAATCTTTTGAGACTCCCCCCCAAAAAAGCATCATTAGCTGAAATTTTTAACAGAGAAAATCAAGAAGAAAGAGAGGAAGAGAGGAACTGACTATGTTAATGCTATCTGTTTCTATTCAGGCTTGATACAACACAAAGATGTAAACATTTAAAATAAATAATAAAATAAATGTCAATTTCTTCTCCCCCTCCCCATCCTATGCCCCTCCCCCCCAAACTTTGACCCAGCTCCTCCTGAACACGTCAGCATTGGAAAATCAAAACCCTTTGTCGGTATATGGCCCAAGCACTAGAAGCACGAGGAGATGTCAAATTAGTAGTAGGATGACTGGGTTTCCTTTTTTTTAAAGCTGAAGGAGGACATGGGCACACCTGGAAATGCACACACACACACACATACACACACCTGTCAATAAATAGTGAGATGCTGGCTTTTAAGATGAATACCAAGAAGACTCAACAAGCAGAAAGTAGCAAGACCCCTTTACTTAAGTTTTAAAAAGAAAGTTACACACACCACGTATCCTATTGGTCCACAAATTCTATAAGGTCTCAGGTTACCCCTCCGACCACCTGTGGAGTGCAAAGGGGTGAAGGGGGAGAGATGCAGGGTGCTGTAGGGCATGGGTCTTTGAGAACAAACCTCAGGCTGAAAGCAATTCTGCCTCTGCTCTTTGAAGAAAGACCTTCTCACCCCCCCCCCAAGTGTTTTTGTTTATCCATTAATTGGGGGCCTTTATAAGGGATGACCTCATCCCTTAGTCTCATCCTAAAGAAGGTAAACATAAAAGTGCCTAACACAGTGCCTGGCACACAGTAGATGCTTATTCTTTTCCTTCTTAAAGGGGCTGCATCAAGGCAGGATTCAACCTGCAAGTTAAATGGTGAGATTGCAAGGAGCATTGTTGGTCCATCAGAGAAGGGGAAGAAAGTCCCAATGTTTACAGAACTGAGCCCACCCTTACACCTGGAGGCAAGTGAGAGCAGAGAGGAGACACCTTTCCCCAAAGCCTGAGAAAGGAAGCAGCAGCGGCCGATGGCTGTTGGCTTTGACAAGCTTGTATGACCGGCCACAGTGGACACACCTGGCCTTTCATGCTGGCAGAACAATGCTTTCTTTCTAAAACTTCCCCAGTCAATTCTCAGCTTAGAGCTGACTCTGGCAATTTCCTAAGCTTCGCCTGGGATCTCTTTCCTGCGTCGGAAGCTGTCTCCGGCCACCCGGTCAGGAAGAGGACAGTCCCCAAAGAGCCTGGCCAGGTGGCCAAGAAGACTTCGTGTTTCACACTAGCCTGTCAAGAAGTGCCTGCCCTCTGCCGTCCCAGAGCTGCCTGCAGCCCAACTGGAGTCCATACCAGCTGCCTCTCGGCTGGGGACACAGGGAGCACCCACTGCAGCTGTCCCTTAGCTGGAGCCAGGGAAGAGGAGGGGCAGGCCTAGTGTCTGGTGATTCTGGAGCAAAGGATATGTAAGTGGTCAGGGAGAGCCAACCAGGGGGAAGGAACTGAAGATACACTCCTGACTTAAGTGCCTTCTCCAAATAACCCTTGGCTTTGGGGAAGCCAAATCACGTTCTAGAACAAAGCTAGAGGGGCCTGAATGGAAACGCAGGCACTGAAGAGCCTCTGAAGTCCTGCGCGGTGGCTGGGCTTCTGCCTTCTGCTGGTCCCCAAACCAACAGTTTGAAGTCTCAGCCAAAAGCAAATTGTCCCGGGAATGTCAAGCCTTGCCCCAGGTCAGACTGAGACCTGCCTTGGGATCGGTGCTGTGCAAAGGGGCGTAGAGAGACTTTTAGAAATAAAACACTAGAAAGCAGCTTCACTGAAGATATACGTAGCAAGATGCCAAGAGCTCCCAGTTAGCCACAAAACCACTTGAGATGATAAGCCTTCAGAGCTGAATGCACCCCGGTTTTCTTTGCCCATCTCCTGCTACTCCTGACTGACCTCTGGTTCTTTCGCTAATCTGAAGCCAGAAATACAATTGCCTGATCTTATCAGGAAGGCAGCAGCACAGGCAAGGAATGTGGGAAATAACGTTTTTTGAGTATTTTTGCATAAAATCCTTTTTCTCTCAATTCTCTCTGTGTGGTCCATTCCCGGCGCACGTCACTTCCAGTCACAGTGGGTCATGAATCTTAAGAGTCTCCCATCCCACTCACTGTGTCCAGTGCATGGAAAGTGGGTAACGGACACTAAACAATGACCAGTGTGGGAGGCCATGAAGGGGGGAACAGAAGAGCAAATACGTCTAACTTTGAAATAAACCCCCCAACCAGTTTTGATCGAGACAGCATCGAGAGTTTTCCAGGCTCCTACAAAGATCTCTAGAGCCGAATCACAACAGTGGGGCACCCTCCGGGCTCAAGCCTAGCAGAGGCCAATCCAGAAGAGCAAGGGGAGCAGCACCCCGGGGAGCAGAAAGGCCCAGAAGGGTGGAAGGACCGTGCTGAGTTATGCTAAGCTAAGCTGTGCTCTTTTGGGAAGCCTGGAAGACCTCTCCCCCAGGCGCGCCCCCCACCCCGTGGGAAGCAACGCAGCTCATCTCTGATTTCAGCAGCCCCCAGGGATGGTGCTTGAGCCACAAGCCTCAGCAACAGCTCCGGGCCAGCTGTTCACAGCTGGCTGATGATGGACCCGAGGAGCATGCTGGATGAGGGGATAGGGGAGCGTAAAAGAGAAAGCACTTGATCCACCAGGTAGCAGATGACCACAGAGGCCTAGCAGCAGCAGCCAGGTGCCAGGGCTGCCCCGAAGAGAATCCTCTCCAACTGCCTGCTCCTCCCTGCCCTGTCTTTGCATCCACAGCAAAGGCTCCTTTGAGGCTTGGGGAGGGGCCACCTGGCAGCAATCTGGGGAGGGTCCAGGCCCAAGCTCATTAAATCTCCGTGGGTGGCGTCACCCCGAGAGCCAGGATGGGGAAAGGGCGGAGCCGCAGGGATGGAGTGATGTGTGGTTCCCAGGGAGGGACGCCTCCCCGGTCTGAAGAGAAGGGTCCAGGGGCAGAATGGCGAGGCAGTAATTACAGGAGACGTCCTCCTCGAGACACCGGGTGGAGGGGAGCAGGCTAGGACACCCAAGTGGCTTTGTTGGCACTATTCCTGGCCTGGTAATTAGGCGTTTGCCATACCCAACCTGTGCCCCGGCTGTCTCACTCACACCCTGTCTTCTGGCTACGCAGCTCCTCCAAGGGCCGTCTCCAAGGATGGGGAGGGAGGGTCCTCCGAGCCTCCCAGTGATGGCGGCATCTCCTTGAGAGCTCAGGGAGCCCTGCAGCTGGTTCTGGAGATGGTGGTGGGCCAGGGAGCACCAGGGAGGGAAGGTTCTGTATTGCACATTGACTATCCCTTTCCATACAAGTCAGCCCTGGCAGAAAAGTCACCTGCTGCCCCATCTCCAGAAATGAAGAGCTTTAATATTCAGACCACCAGGATGAAATGTCATGGCAAATTTGATAAAAACCAAGAGGAAGTGAAATTGACACTTGGGGAAGGAAGGGGCAAAGAGAGGGAAGGTGAAACCAAAAGGCACTGAGCATGCTTGGTGGGGCGGGAAGGGACACCATCACTCCAGAGACACAGCGTAACAAAGGGACAGGAGCGGTTCGCGCCAGCTTCAGGCTCTTCCGAAGCCAGAGAGATGCCTGAGTCCGCCAAACCAAGTTCTCCAAGGCTTTTCAAGAAACAGGATTTGCTTTGCAAGATGAATGAGGGAAGAGCTCCTGGACTTCCAAGAGATCATCCGAGTCCTCCAACTCCTCACCGCCAAGTCCCCCGGGTCTCCCCAGAGCCAGAAGATCTCAGGCAGGGTCCCCCTCTTGCCCTCACGGCCCTGGAGCTCTTGAAGGTGCTGGTCCCTGGGAAGGAGGCAGTGACGAGGACCCCCCGGGAGCTGGGTTACAGAGCCAGCAGAGTAGGGGAGTTCAAGGAGTCTGATGACTGGTCCCCACTGCTACTGCTTCTGCGGTGCGCCTTGGAGCAGGACTCCGAGGGCGACGCGGGTGACTCCTGTTCCAGGACGCTGGGGTAGGTGAAGACGAGGTTCGAGGTGCCCGGAGTGATGGCAGGTGTGGAGGTCACCACGATGGGGGTGTGCAGAGGCTCCTCCCCTCCGTAGAAGCCCCCAGCGATGTTGATGGGCTTGATGACCGAGCGCTGGGCCTTGTCCAGCCCTGCTGATGAGGACGAGGGGCTGTCCTCTTCGGGGGGCTCCTGTTTCACCACCACGGCACCCACTCCACCGCCCCCGCTGCGCAGGGGCTGCAGCCCTGGGGCCGGGGGCGATCGGCGCTCCTCTGGACTGATCTTGCACACTGGCCCGTGGGCCACCAACATGAACTCCAGCTTCTCCTTCTCCTTCTGCAGCTCTGCAATCTCCTTCTGCAAACCTGACTTCTCCTCCTCTAGTTCCTCCGTCTCCTGCGGGGGAGAAAGAGGCACGTAAGGGACAGCCACCTGCCAGGGACCTGCTCGGTGCAGGGGCTTGGGGGAGAGTTCAAACCAGCAATGTCCTCAGACAAACGATGGGGAAATGGCCAGTTCACACACCAGGCCACACACTGGTTCTGAGTCACCAGGAGGCTCCAGACTGAGAAGGGAGCAAAACCAGCTTGGAGGAAAGCTGACAGCACAACCTCGTCTCATGAGCGAGCGCTCACTTTACACCGGGCACTGTGGTAAGTGTTTCATAGTATTATCTCATTCAATCCTCCAGCACTTTTTTTAAGCAAATATTATCATGAACCCATTTTTTGCAGAAAAGGAAACTGAGGTTCAGAGGGGCTCAGTCACTTGCACAGTCATAGATAAGAAGTGAGGTAGCCCAGATTTGACCATAGTGTATGCAATTCCAGAGTCCAGACTCGTCTCCTGGGTCACCCTGAGTAAGGGAGTAGACAGGAGGAAGGGAGCTCACGGTTCTACCCATCTCCTCCTACCTCTTCAATCCCATTTGGCCCACCCGTGGACACAGAAACACTCAACTCTGCACTACGCAACAGTGGAAATTTCCAGCACACACAGCCCCGCACAGGGCCTGGCTTCTAGTAAGTGCCCCGCTGATGTGAGGACGGCACAGTCACACTGCCGGGACTCAGCCCTGCTTTTATGTGAAGCCAAAGCAGCAGCAAAGGCCACAGAGGGAGCAGTTAGGGAAGATGAAGGGGGAGTGTCACCGGCCACCTCTCCACGCTCCCTCTCCCTCACACAGACTCCTCTTCAGGAAGGAGATGATCCAGGATCGGGGCCAGAGCATCACAGAGCAGAGGACAGAGTATTCCGGAGTGAAAAAAAGTTTCCATCTGTCTCAAGGGTCTGATGAACGTCATGAGCTTATGAGAGGTTTCCTGTGGAGGATGTGGCTCAGGGGCCTGGGTGGCTGGGTCGGGGGTGGGGAGGCGGGGGAGGGTGTAAGGCTTCTGGAGGAGGAAGGTGGAGGGACTGTGGGGGGGCTCTTCTGGGGCCTGGAGGTTAGCAGTGAGGAGGGCTCTCCTGGAGGCATGCTCCCCATGGAGCCTGACACTCAGAACTGCCCCCGCCAGCACCTCCCTCAGTGGTACTACAAGCGTCTCTGAATTCATGCCATTTACTATCAGCACTCAAAAGCAAGGGCTCCAGGGCAGACAAGGGGCAGCTGAGGCAGGCATACGGTGACCTAGAGGACTAAACAAAGCGAGGGGATGTGCAAGGTAAGTGGTGACTTCCAAAGCCCCATCCTGGCTGGCCTTTGCGAGAACCACTGACAGTCTCATTTCCTCACTCTACACGGAGACTCAGGCCAGGCTCTGGGCCTCCTCCACATGGCACGTGGTCCTCCCTAAGGGCCCTGGAGTTACGTGACATAGGTCAAGTCAATCTTTTGAGAGGGAAGGGCGGGGCTGGGCCACAGCCCCCAGGTGTGGGTGAATGACTCACTCAGGCAGAAGGAGGTACCAAGGCCACAGCTTCAGGCTCACAGCAGAGACGGGGAACCCTCCCACCCATGAAGGATATGACAGAGCCCCAAGATAACACAATTCAGTAGGCACGTGGCTCGTTTCCACCAGGGCCCAGAGAGCATCGAGACCCCTCAGAGACGAAGGAGTCAGCACGTCTCTCCCTCTGCCCAAATTAGATTGCTCAAGCTAAGCAGGGCCGTCCCTACTGGAGCTAGATATGGGGGCGGCTGGAAGCTTAGAGGGGGCAGGCCTGGGCCTGCCCTGGGTCCTGGATCCTCTGTCATCCCTCACCCAGGAACAGGGAATGCTCAAGCACTGAGTGAGAAGGGTGCTGGGCCCAGGGAGGTTGTCTAGTCCTCTTTCTGGAGCCAGGCTGGAGCCAAAGGGTGACTCTGTCCCTCCCTCTCTGTTTCTGTCATGATGCTAACCCAAGTGATCGAAGGAAAGACTATTTCCATCGTATTAACTCATGTGCAGGCCCTAGTGGGCCAGGAGGGGAGAGGGAGGCCCTAGGGCTCTTGCTCTGGTCCACCCAGAAGTGCTCCCACCCCACGCAGCGCTCCTCACCGCCTGCAGCTTCTCTGTCAGCTCCCTCCGTCGGTTCCGGCACTTTGCTGCAGCCAGCTTGTTCCTCTCCCGCCGGATTCGACGCTTCTCCTCCTCTTCAGGAGATAGCTAGAAGCCAAGGTTGAAGATCACGATTAGGTGGGGATAAATACTTTCCTGGCTTTTTTTTTTTAACTGCTTTTGACGTAGGGCAAGGAGCACTTCTGAGACATAGGAAGGGGAGCCGGAAGGCAAGAGGAGTGTGGCTGGGCTCAACAGTCCCAGGACACGCAGCTCAGCCTGGGAGGATGCTTAGTGCCCAATCCACCCTGAGGTGGATATCCCGTGTTTGAAGGGGCAGATGGGCAGCAATGCATCAGGGACTCACCAGCCTCAGGCACGACGGCAGCCCGAGTCGTGTCAGCCCTGATTCAGTGCCAAGACCAGAGAAATGGAGTGGCACTGCTTCCCCAGGGAGACCTGGGGGCCAGCAGGCCTGGCCCCACCCGCTGAGGCAGCTTCGTCCAAACCTGGCTAATTACTTCTCCCCCTCACACTGCCTGCTCTACAAGCCTCATTAGCCCCATTTGGTTAAGTGGCTGGGCTCAGAGTAAGAACCACCCAGGAGGAATGTCCTGCTGCCAAAGGGAGACCCAAGGATGCCACTCCACTCCCGATTCTCTCTGCTAGCCCCCGAGCACCAGCTGCTCACAGTTCAGCCCCACAGACTCACCACCTCAGTGTGCCTGGCACAGTGCTTGGCTGGAAACAAAAGGAGGAGGCGCCCACATCAAATCCTGCTGCCCACCACTTCCACTCACGAGACAGACAGACACCTCTGTGCCGGACACTTTCCAGGGTTCGAGATTGATTCAAGAATCCAACGAAGCTGCCCCTGCCCCCTGCAGGGTTTACCAACTTGTTCCTTTCGGTGAGGCTGGCTAGGGGCCCGTGGCTCAGGCCCCGGGCAGGTACACAGCTCCTCTGATGCTGTTCACATAGAGCCCTTCCAGGTTGTGACCCCAACGCCCCTCACAAGCAGAGGGGACACGAGATGGCTATGGGTCCAGGCAGAAAGCAATTCAAAAGGACATCAGTAGGTGATGGCACACCTACTAAGTGCCAAGGCTTAGGAAGTGCTGAGTGCTAAGGCTAAGTGCTGGGGCTCAGAAAAGTCCAGGGGAAACTGGTCCCAGGTTCTGTCCTTAAGGGACACAAGGGAGCAAGTCCAAGCCACTTTTAGCGGGGCAGAAAAGTACCCCATGGGAGAATATTGCCAGCCACTCCCCCTGACTCCCAAGTCAGAGCCCTGGGGCATAGCAGCAAAAAGGACATTACAAAGTCTGTCCACACCGAGGGGACGCTGTGGCCCTAATATGCCAAAGCCCCGCATCTAAATCTCCAAACACCAGCAGGAAAATGTGCCCGTCGACTCTGCAGGCTGAAGAGTGTCTGAGGCATCCGGCCACTCGAGCAGAGAAACTCCTTGCATCTTCCCAACTTTCAAACTCCCCTCCAATAGTTGGAGGGGCCCATTGGGGAGCGGTAGGCCTGGCAGGCTGGAGACATCTCTGGGTGCCTCGGCCCCCCACCTCCCAGGGCTCCGGCTGTGCCAAGCTCTGGCAGGTTTGGCTCTGCCTTGGCGACCTCCTTCTCCTCCACTGCCCCGTCTCACTGGGACAGAGAACCAGGCCCAGATTCCCGCTATGCCAGCTCCTCTCTCACTGTGTCTCCCCCTGTAGGTGGGATGACAGCTGGTATCATCCCCTCATTGTTCTTCAGCCCCTCCAGAAGGCTCTGGGCTGGAGTCCCACATGTGAGTCCCGGCTCCCCACCCCTCCTCAAGCCCCATTCTCAGCCTCAGTCTCTGAAATCCTGTTTCCCCAGGACAGCCAGAGGGCCCTCATCCTCTCTTATAAGAGGCATCTGGAGCCAACACAGATAAGGTGCCGCTATGTGGCCCTGGACTAATAACTGAACCTTCTGAGTCTTCCAAGTGTCAGATTTCCTCTTTGTGAAACAGCCAACAGGAAGCCCCTTCCACAGAGTCTCTGTGCCCCTCATCAAGCACTCTTGAAACTAGAAAGTGTCACAGAGAAGGAGCAACGCAGGTCTCCTCTCTGATGCTTTTTCTGAGTCCTGAATGATCCAAATGGCCTGGAGACCCAGGTCCACAGACCCAGGGGCCCTGCTCTGTGTGGGAATGGGCTACCAGCTGAGGCCCTGAACACGGGACAGGATGCTGCTAAATCTGTACCAACCTGAGCCCACCAGAGTTTCCCAGGGAGTCTGATGGCCCTGGTGGGGCCTGGATTCAAGGCCACCTGAAAGGGCTGCCAGAGCTCCTCTTATGCCAGCCAGCACCCCCTCACAGGTAAGGGGCAGAAAAGTCATAGATAGTCTAGGTACACTTTGGCCTCCCTTCCCCTTTGGCTGCTTCTGGACAACTTGTGGCCTCCCAATTGGTCTAGAAATCTCTTCCCTATCAGCTCAGATGTGGGAGCTGTGGCATAGCGTGGGACTTCAACATGGCAACAGCTGGGGTGTGTCTGTATCCAACTGTCCAGCCCCAAGCCACACCCCCTCCATTTTCCACGCCTCAGTCACTGCCTCTAAGCTCTGAGGGAGTCTCCAGCAGGCTCAGGAGGGCAGTGAGGCACCAGACTGGCTCCTGGGATCAGGCTCCTCCCTGGGGGTAGGGTGGGAGTAAGTTTCAGAGAGAAGACCTGGGCCTAGAACACAGAGCCCAGGGTGTAAGCTGCCGGCACCCAGACTTCCTCCAAGCTGCTGGACACTTGTCTAAGCTTCTAGTTGACCTGGGGTAAAATGCTCCTGGTTCTCTCCCTCCCTCCCAAAAAAGGAAGGAAATTCTCCAGACAGATTGTCTTAGGGCACGCCTCTGTGGTGTTGTGGTGGGAAAATCACAGGGCTGAAGGTCAAAGGAGGCAGATTCCAGTCCTGGCCCTGCTACTAATGCACTGTGGGACCCAGGGCAGGGCCCTTATCCTTGCTGGGCCTCAGTTTCCTCATCTGTAAAATGGGTGCAGAGGGGAAATCTGAAAAGCTGGTCTCTTCCAGATAGAAACTTCTCAATTCGCAGTGAATTAGGCCCAGAACAGAATGAAGAGTGTTCCCCATATCTTGTGTTGTTGTCCTGCTAGCCACAAAGAGGCCTGGCAATGCCTGTCTCCCACACAGGGGTCACTCACACAGGGAGAGTCCAGCCATTGGTGACTATAAAGCTTGGCAGGCTGGGATCCCCAAGGGAGCATATTTATATAGATGATACTGATACATACTGCTGCGGCAGTATTTACAAGTACAGTTACAGAAGGCAACCATGAGTGGGATGGAGGCCCTGCGCCCCATCCGCAGGAGCCCCAACAGCAGCAGCAGGCAGGCTCTATCATCCTGTCTGTTCCACACACCTCCCCACGTTCTCAAGATTCTTTCTGCTTCCACAGAAAGAGCAAACCAACATGTAGTGGATAAAGGCCCAGCTTGGTCCTCAGGGAATCAGGCTTCTGCAAAAGCTGGCAGGCCCAAGAGCAGTGATTCTGGTCATTCTGGGGACCTCTGCTACTGGGGATGATTATCCAATGGGGAGCGTGCTCAAAGGGTCCTTGTATAGCAACAGTGTGTGCCTGGGGCTCCTGAAGAAGAGATGGGAATAGGCAGAGCTTCTAATGCTGTAAACTGGGTCATACTTCATTTGGAAAACTGCTAAGGCCCTTCCCCCTGAGCGCCCGAGGGCACAGCATTGCCAGTACTGCACAGGGAGTCCAGGGAGCTGGGTTCTAGTTCAGATTTTTGCTCCTTCTTGGAATGGCTCCAGGCAGGTGTGTCTGGGCCTTGGTTGTGTCTCCGGTGAAGGGGGACACATGGGGCTCTTGGAAGACCCATTCCCTGGCCTCTGCTCCCTGCTCCAGAATTATGCACAGCTGTGACTTCTCTCCCAGAATTGGGGTTCATGGCTTCCCTGGCTGGCTGTTGATATACACAAGGGGGTTTTCTGAACATAGGATTGAAGCTGCCTCATAAGCAGCACTTTCTGATGTGCCTCCCACGCCAGACTGACACCTTCTCAAAGCTGAGCCCCTTGAGGATCAAAGGCAGGTGTCTGACTGCCTGTTTTCACCCTGGGCAGAGACCAGGAGCAACTGCACTTCCGAATGTGCTTTCCGGCACTTGCTGCGGGCTTCTGCTAGGGCTGGAGGCCTGGGGCTCCAGGAGCAATGAGAGTCGGGGGGCCGTGCCAGCCTGGACCAAGACCCTTTTGGTCTGCACGGAGTCTCATCTGCACCAGATGCCAGTAGACAGTTAAGAGTTAATCCCAGGAAGCTCCCAGCCTGGGTGTCCTGTGGCCCATCAGCCTGGGGTCAGGGAAGGACACTGCTGCAGGCAGATCCTAATGGCGCTTCCCATTTGTTACAACATGCTTTCCCACCCACTCGCTGGAGCGGCAGCAAGTCCCGGCTGCCCCCCTGCAGGTCCATCCTCCCCATTTTATAGCCGAGGAAACTGAGACTCAAAGACTCAAAGGGACATGGGCAAGATGACACGGCCAGGCTGACCCTCAGGCCTCCTCTCTGCCCTCCAATGACGGGATCATGTGCTCCTGGCGCCCTTGCGTGCACCCCTTCCCAGTATCCAAGAACACTGACCTGCTCCCTCCCCGTCCACACAAAACCACCCACATCACCAGGCCCTAAAAGCCGCCCACAGGGCCCCTGGTTGCTGGGCTGAGCTGCATGTACCTGCTCATCTCGCCTCCTGCGGCCAACGGTGGTGCCGATGGTCTTGATCACGCCCGGTCTCGGGAGGGCCATGTGCCCAGGGACAGACCCCAGGCCTGGCAAAGGGCTGTAGGGGTGCGAGCGGGGGTACGGGTTGGACATGGAGGTGATCACTGTGGGCTGCACCATCCACTGTAGGTCCTGGCTAGTCGTGATGGCGTTGATGGTGGGAATGAAGGCGCTGCCCGAGCCAGGCATATCTACCCGGAATTTCTGCAGTGAGTAAAAAATGAGATTGAGCCAATAAATACTGAGAAGAATGAGATAAGCAGAGCCAAGAGGCCCAAACCAGCAGAATGCAGGGTCTGTGCTTGGGAGGCAAGGGTAGGATACCAGGGGAGCCCTCCTGGTATAAGTTCCGGGTAAGCCCTGCATATTCAAGAGTTAGAGTGGGTCTGAACCCTTCCCAGGGCTCTTATCAAAGAACCCATTCCCTGACAGGGGGCCCGGGAACTCCATCCCCAAGCAGCCCAGGAGGATGCAGTCATATCCCAAGTGACTCCTCAGACAAGGGGTGCTCCCCATTCACTCACACTCAGGTCAGCCCCGTCAGCAGGAAGGCAGCCTCCCACCTGTGCACCCCAGCCCCCCAGCCTCGTTTCACTTGCCAGTCCTTCCCCAGGGAGGACTCCTGGCAAATCGCCCCTCCTGGAGGAGCATTGCACACCCACAGCTCTGAAGCAACAGAGATCACCAGGAAGCTAATCGTGCCTGCTTTCTTTACTTTCCAAACAAGCTCATGATGGGGGGTGGGGGCACAGCAGGGGGAAACCAAGTCCATGAAAAGGTGCCCTTCAGCCAGCTTAATCTTGCTGCCCTGTCCCTCCTCCTGGCCCTTCACCCCCACCTTGCTGGGCACAGAGACGGCGTCTCTCCGTCCGTCCACAAATCTATCTGTGCTGATAGCTCAGTCTGCTCCTGCCTCTTCATTTGTGCCCAGTTTTCTGGAGCTCCCACAAGAAGGATTCTATTTAAAATACAAGATGCCAACGTAGCACAAAAGCTAAAGTGAGCCGTGTGCCTCTGCAGGTGGGTTTGCCCTTCTTCAGGGCAGTTACCAGCAGGCGAGAGGAGAGAGAAGGTAAGATTCAGGGGACTCTTCCAGATTTTCAGGGGAAAGCTCTCCCCTAAAGGGGGCCAGGTAGAGCCTCATACTCAGATGATTTCACGAGAAAGTTCTGCAAGCCCTTCTTCCCTAACCTGTTGGGTGAAATGACGACAGCAACGACAGCTGACACTTACCGGACACTGACTAAATGACAGGACCGTGTTTTACCTAGATTATCTCATTACGTCTCCCTGTGAGGTAAGAACTACCATTATCGCCCTTTTGGAGGCAGACACTTAGGCTTAGAGAGATGAAGTAACTTCTCCAAGGCCGCATCGCTAATAAGCAGTGGGGGCAGACGCAGACCCATTCAGCTGACGGAGGCTGGCTCTCCCGCACTGGCGCCCGCCTTCCCTGAAATCCAGCCAGGTGCGGTGATCCACCTACTTTGCCCTTGGAGGATCAGGTCACCCTCATCAAGGGTCCCTAAAAATTTTCTCTTATCAGGGAGGCCCTGTGTCTGTCCCAAATGAAATCCCACCTCACTAGCATGGATGCTCGTGTATTCCCCTGTTCTGGAGCAACAGCAAGACCAGCCAGGATTAGAAGAATTGGCAACAGGCAATGGCAGCTGCCACCACCAGTCTCTGCCCCTGGCAACAACATGTGGGTTCCTGCTGTACTAAGAAAGTGAGGTTCAGAGTATCTCACTGAGGCTGAGGGAGCTGCGGACCCTTTGTCTCTCACTCCTCTACAGGCTGCCTGATTCCAGGGTGGTAAAAAGTGGCCACCTCACCTCCCAGACTGCCCTGGGGCCCCAGGCCAAAGGCATTCACAGAAGAGAGCTGCTCAGTGCCGTGGATTCTGCGGATCCAGAAGGAGCAATACCCCATGAAAGGACTCTGGGGTTCAAAGAGCAATATCCTGTGCCATGGATTTGGGGTTCCAGAACGAGCGCTACCCCATGCAGAAGACTCTGAGTTGCACTACTGAAGGCAACGAGCTGACTATAAAGCAGCAGGTATCTATGGGGGTGTGCGTGTGAAGGAGTATGGGTACAGGAAGGATCCAAGTGGAAAATGATCCTCAGGGAGAAGAAAGAGGCAACCAGGGCTGGGATGAGAGGTGGCCCAGCACGGAGATGTGGGTGTGGCTGAGTGCAGAAGCGCTGAGGCCCAAACAGCGAGGCTTCTCTTGGGAGGCGGGGTTGTGGGGGTGGGACCAGGGCACCAGCACTGCCTTGGAATCAGGACTAGCCAAGGCTGGCTCAGTGCTTGGCAACTCACTGAGGTCTCAGTTTCCCTGAGTGTAAGAGGGAACACAGACACCAAACTCACTGCAATGTCATGAGGATTAAATAAGTAGCTACTTGTAATCATAGGCTATAAAAGCACACCCATGGTTCTCAAGCCTGGCTGCACATTAGAATGTTAGGAGGACCTTTTTAAAACAACAATGTTGGATGGAGCCTCACCATTAGGGTTCTAAAATAATTAGTTTGGAGTAGGGTTCTGATAAGGGATTTTTAAAAAACTGCCTAAGGAGATTCTAATGTGAGCAGGGGTTGAGAAACACCACTCCAGACAAATGGAAGGTGGCACAGTCACCGCCGTCACGGCCACCGCCACGGCCAGCGTTATCATTGCAAGTTCTGTGGACTCTGCCCAGGATGGCGCCAGAGAGAATTGTCAGCTTCCCACTCCTGGGAAGCCCCCAACATTTTTATTCCATTTCTCTTCCTAAGTTAGCTTGTGGGGTTGAAGGGCACTCCGATCCCGTGTGATGGCTTACTGTGGCCGTGCATCTCTGAGAGTAAACCCGTCATCCTCCCTCTTAGGAAAGCACCCAAGAAATTCACTCTTCGTTCCAACAAACAAAAGAGCTCCTGTTTCAGGCTGGGGACGCAAGCAAGCAAACCAAGCCCAGCTTGGGGACTAAGACCCCTGAGGAACCGGTGGCAGACTCAGCCCCTCGCAGGCCTTGGGGCTCCCTTGCTCTGTGATGCCAGGTCTACAGAAAGTGCTCCCCGGCCACCAGCCAGATTCCTTGCAGCAATGGCTTGGTCTAGACAAAACAAGACAGCAATAAAAACAAGGCAGTAGGTAATGACCGCCTCTAAATGCACGTACAATGTGTTTCAGAGAGAGGTAAAGCCATCTGGATAACACTCGGCCCTCAACTGGAGGAAAACAATGTCCCATCCCCAGAGGGGCTGGAGCTCTGATAAGCGAGGCTTTTGTCTGCAAGAGGAGACGTACACAAAAGTTTAAATGAGATCTGGCAGAAGCAACTCCAACGGTATCACTCAGAAAGGGACCCTGGAGTCTGGAGCCCCAGAAGTTGGCTAGGCCTTCTTCTACACCCACAGACCCCAGAATCAGTCAGATGTCATATTGGGGATAAGTCATGATTCTCTATGAGGCGGGTAACATGGAACAGAAACCAAGATAGGGGTTCCCAGCTGTGGGCGTGAGGGCAGATCGGTCCCTGTGTGTGCTGTGGGGAGGGGAGGAGGTAAAGCAGGTCTTACTGGGCTCCCCTGTCCCCCAGCTCTGTGGCCCCTCCTCTAGAGAGCTCCTCCTCTAAAGACCGGCCTGCAGATGCAGGATGTTGGTGGCATTCGACCTGGCAAAGCCTCAGAGCGATTTATTTAACTGTGGCATCCTGTCTGGGTGGGCAAGAATGCCTCTGAGGGGGCACACTGGCCCCCACCAAGCTCCTTGGGTTGACTCTGGCAAACTTTTGCTATAAAAGACCAGATAGTAAATATTGTAGGTTTTGTGGGCCCCATGGTCTCTGTCTCTGTCGCAACTGCTCAGCTCTGCCACCGTAGCATGAAGGAGTCACAGACAGTATGTAAACAAATGGGCGTGCCCATGTCCCATTAAACAGGTCTGGGTCAGGGCCTGGCGACCCCTGTCCTAGAACAGCATTCTTGTCTCCAGTGCTCAGGTTGGGGTGGAAAGTAAATAAAGAAATGAGAAAGAAAAAACCAGAAGAAGGGTACTCCTCTGACCCAGCAAATCAAGGGGATCTCTAGACCCCAAGGCGGAAGCCTGAGCCCTCACAAGTCTTGCTGTGGATCTCCGGGCATCAGGATCTCCCTTACCCCGCTGCACCCTGTATTTAAGGGTGCACAGCCATGGGGCTGCGCAATAAGTGTGCCTTCCTCCCACTGCCCATGAGAAAGACATCCGGAGCCCAGGGCTTCCAGGGCCAAACAACTTTATCAGGCCAGAGAGGTTCCCAGAGGCCTAGCAGTTTCCCATTTGGGAAAATGACCTTTATGAACTCTACAGCAAGGCCTTGGTTTCACAAACGGGTACCATAACCATGACCTTTTACAGAATGGTTTCAGAAGCAGGCTTTGGATTCCCATTTCCTGCAGCCAGAGATGGGCAGGGTTATCCCAGAGACTCTTGAGCTGGGCAGAAGTGGCAGGTGAGGTGAAGTCAGGCTGGGGTTGCTGGCCCACCCCTCGCCCAGGCATTTATCCATCAGATTGAGTCTCAACTGGGCCACCAAGCACTCAAGCCAGGAAGCCCATGACCTGGTCTGTGCCTGAAAGGGACTGAGTTCTTTCTCTTAAGAACTTTTTTCTTGTTTAAGATTTCCAACATGGAAACGGAGAATTCCAGCATCCCAGGAGGCTAACTCAGGGAAAGGGTGCGGTTTGAGCGAATGCTGCCTCCAGCTTCCCAGAATGCCCCTGCTGTGGTCCAGCTGGACTCAAGTGCCCTCTATTTTTATTGAACTTGGGATGTTCTCCAAAGCCTCTATAGGGATAACAACCAGCCTTCACAGATTCTGCCCTGGACATCACTTTGACCTTTGGCCTTTTATCCCTATCACAACGGAAATCGTTGCTAGTAACTCATGATTTCTCCCCAAACCGTGTGGTACACAAACATCTCAGGTGACCTGTGCTCTGTGGCTGCTTCTCTTTCTCAGATTCATTTGAAAGAACCATGCTATCCTTCTTCACCCAACCGCCAGGGTGAGGAAGAGTAGGGAAAAAAGAAAAAGCAAGGAAAAAAAGAAAGTGGTTATAAGGAGTTTTCTCTGAGGTAAGGTCCCCAGTTTCTTTCCTCCCAGGGCTCTTTTGCCAGAAACCCCACACCAGAGCCCAGGGGAATTCACCCATTATTCTGTGGACCTCTTTTGTGACCCCAGCAATCCTCAGACACCTCTGCACTCAGGGGAAGGACTTGACAACTCTTCTTCCCTAGACCACAGCAGGGGGCATGGCCAAGGCAGTGCGACAGGGCTGAGGGACAGCTCCAGCAAGAGAATTCTTACATTTTCCCCTCCCACCCAGTGAGTGGAAGAGGGATAGAGTTACCAAGTGGGGTTTGGAACAGATATATTTGCCTAACTCGGGGCAGCTGCTGTCATTTTGAAATGTTGTGGCCACCCAGCGATACCACATTCAACATGGATGAGACAAATCCACAAAGTAATAATGCTATTTTTTTCTCTCTTTCAACAAATAGACCAGAAAATCAGCTTCCTGAATTCTCAAAACCAGTATCTTTATTCCTGTTTAGCAGAAGAACAACACACGAGGTACAGATGGCAAAGGTGCCCGCTTTCATGTGCCTTTGCTGGGTGGCTGGCGGCTCGCCCAGATGCCCGAGATTGAGACCAGCAGAGCTCAGGGTCACTGTGCTTTGGCCCAGCCTGACCACCCGAGCTTCTGTGACATACTTGGTTTCTTCTACGTTAGCTCTTTTGATAATTTCCTAATTACAAATTCGCCATCAAAAGACAAAGGTTAGCAGGAAGGATTTTCAAAAGAATTTGCTGAAGGCAATTCCATAAGAAGGGCGTTGTAAAACCTTTCCGAGTTGATTCATAGCCACCGCACTCAAATAACTATTCAGTCTCCTCGAGGAACAATTACAAAGGGGACAGCAGTGATTTGGACATGTAAGTTCTGGTGTGTTTGTGTTAAGATAGAAAAAAAAGAAGCACCTCCTAACTTTACACTCCCCTTGAATAAGACAGGCAGAAATAAAGGCCTGGAAATGCACCCAGGGGCTTAGGTAGGAAAATGCAATTGTTCCTCAGACAATACATGACTGTTTCACCCCATTCACTTTGATGAAAAAGTGATGCTCACTTCCACCATCAAGGCTCAGCAGAACAGACAAATTCCTGGAATAACATTTTGTTTGATCCTAATCTACAACATCTGTAGGCAAAAATAAAATTAAATTAAAAAGCATCAGACCCTTCATACACACCTCCCAGCTTCTCACCAATTCTGAAGACCATCTCCCCAAACAATTCCCAGTGTCCTCATACAGATCCATCAGGAAAACAAGGCTTAGGAATTTGAAGACATTGTGCTGGCGCCCTAATGAACAGACAGACATGGAAAGAGGAAAAGAAAAGAGCACTCCTTTTTCAACCGAGCTTTATTTAAAACAAGATCAAAAAAAGAAAGAAAGAAATTGCATTTCAAACTCAAGCAGTTCCCACTTAACCACTGTTAAATACATGGTATTTTATTGGTCCTGAATGAAAGAAAAAAAATCCAAAGAATTCCAAAAGCTAACCAAGTTAACAACACTCTCTGGGGCTGGAAAAATACATTCCCCAGATAGTTCTAAGGATGTCCTGTAGGGGGCACTAGAGAGGCATGAGTGGGGCTGACTTGGGAATCACAGTCATTTCTGGTAAAACTTCTTTGATGTGAGGAATGTCCCAGACTGGTACAGTTGGCAAAAGTTCACTCTGGGGAATTTTGTGTGTGCGTGTGTCTGTGTGTCTCTGTGTGTGTGTGTGTCTTGGGAAAGGGTGGCTGCAGAACAGGAGAGCTAGGCTGGTATTCCGTGACTCCAGAAAGGACCTGTCCCCCTGGATTTATTTTCCTAAGTTATCGGAGGAATAGACAAATGGCAGCCTTGGAAAAGTTCTGGGTCTTGTTTTTGTTTTGTTTTTTCATTAAAAGGGGGCCCAGCTGATGAAAACAAGTTATGAAATGACCTATGTTTGTGTAACTGGCTGGATTGCGTAATGCTCAGCCTCTGAAACCGTAAGAGCCGGGCAGCCAGGCAGGGCATATATCTGGGAGGTGTTTTCCTAGGAAAGTTAGGAGAGAGAAAACAACAATAACAACAAAAAGAAAAGGCCAGGAGGGGGGGAGGTGTGTGCAACCATTTCTGACAAAACAAAATCACCAATGACCAATCTTTGAGATTAAAACTGTAACTGGAACAGGAAATATTTTTCATGCTTCAAGTTCCTGCCATATACAAGAACCGAAGTTTTAACAAAGAGTTGGCTGCCCCCACCCCCCAGACACTGGAACTTATGGCCATGTGTTAAGGTCAAGCTTTATGAGGCTACAGAGGAAAGTTGTGGGTTGAGTAAATAGCAACAAAGTTATCAGGAACATTAGAGCCCACAAAGAAAGAAATCAGAAAAAATTAATATTCATTTGCCAGTGGAAAGGCCAGAGAGCCCTCTTACAGGGATAGGTTCACTGAGATGCCATAAAGGAGGAAGGCCCTTCCCAACTCTAAAGGAAGCTGAGAGAAATAAAGTGATTACAGGTTTTTTATCTGCTATGTAATAAAGTTACCTTGAGCCGAGTTCCAATAGGGTGGGGCATGGCACAGACTTGTAAAGTAACAAAAGCCTCTCAAGCCAGCCCTGAGGACCACAGAAAGGCTTTGCTCAAGTTGGAGAGATGATGGAAAAACCCTCTCCCCTCCTCCTAGCACCCTCTCCCCCATGAGCAGACAGGCTGGAGAAGCAGTCCAAAGTGGCATTACCTTGCCAATGCCTCTGGTTTGCAAGGCGCTTCACTCAGGCTGCTGGGCTGAACCGGCAGGCGTATATTTGAGAACCCCGTGCACTAGTTATTACTAATTGCAAAATCCTCATGTGTTACAGCATGCTTGGAATTAGCCAACAGCTGCTTTTTGCTTCGGTAATGAGGCCCCATTACACCCTGCTGGACTGAGTTCTCTTCCTTCTTCCTAGCACTGGTTTCCTGTCTGATTTTCTTCCAAAACAGGGAATTGCCTCCGCTCACATCCTGGGCTCAAAGCCCTAGTGACACAGATTATTCAATCGGGGCACTGATGTCCGGTCTGGCTTCCCATCCAGGCTCTGAGCAAAGCCAGACGGCAAGATGGTAATATGTCAGTGATGACTGCCGCAGAATCCACAGCGAGGGGAACAGGCCCGAAACCAGAAGATCCCTTCCCTCCTCTGGGAAGGAGGAGAGAGGCATTTTGGCTTTTGTTGAACTGGAGAGCGAGGGAAAGGCTATTGCCCAACCCACCCATCACCTAAGGATGCTTGCCTTCAATACAAACGGCCTATGGGACTGGAAAGCAAGCAAAATCAAACACTTTTAGGATCCAACTTAAAATTCATCCCCTTGGTGCTCATTATTAAGGGTGCACTGACTGTGCCTCATGCCACAGACTAGGTGCTCTATAGCCAGCGCTTATGGGGACACCAGGGAGGCAGAGGAAAGACACACAAAAGCCATTGGGGGGAGGGGGGCTCACCAGGCATGGGAAATCACTTTGGAAAAAGGTCTCCCTGTTTAGATCTCAAGATGTTTCTAATTTATTCTCCAGGTCGGGTCACCCCCCCCCCCAGCCCCCCCTACCCCTGCTTCTAGAGGCCCAAAGCCACTGCCTTCCCAGAGCAACTCTGTAGAAAAGCCAACTTGGCTAGAGACTCCACAGACCCTGACCACGGTGGCTCCCTTTGTAGTGGCCTTGTGTCTTAAGCCAGCTCCCTCACGAGCTTGGGGTTGGGGGTGGAGGTGGGGCTGCTGCACAGGGCAGGCACCCCACCATCACCACCACCCCAGCAGTACCTTTCTGGTATTTATAGACACACAGATCGCATGCACAACCCCTCCAGTGCAAACCAGTCCGGCTGCTTTAGAAACAAGTTGTTTTTCTGCTTCTAGAGCCACCCAGGAGCCAAAGAGAGCTCCCTTTCGCCCCATTTCTCTCCGCACGCGCCCTCGCCCCAGGTACCCCCAGACCCTCCAGGCGTCCCTTCTGGTGGCCACGCTGGCTCCGGCTCAGACCCCAACAGGCGATGGACCGCGCGGGGCTCGCCGGCGCCGCCCGGGCCAGTCCAGGCTGCTCCGTCCCCCTGACCTTCGCACCTGATTCCCGGGGCGCAGCCCCGCTCCCTCCACTCCCCCGACCACTCCGAGGAGCCCCGCCGTGTTCCCGAGTCCCCAACCTCCCTGAGAAATTAACTCAGACACCCGGGCAAGAGAGGGGCACGGCTTTCCCGAAGGAATGGGCGCTGGGGCGTCGGGAGTAACTGTGGATGCAAAGATTTCCTTTCCCACCCGGAGAGAGAGGCGCAGGGAGGCGGGCGGTTGAGACTGGAGGTAACAGGTTCCTGGGAAGGGGACCCGCGATTCGGGGAGCTTGGATAGGGTGCAGCGCGAAGAAATGGGTTGGTTAGCAGCGCTCCAAGCCCCACACCCCGTTTCAGCATTAAAAAAAGTGGGGGCTGGAGGGGGGGTAGGCGGAAGGCAGGACAAGACGCAACCCCGCAACTCTCGAAGGCGACCCGGAGGAATTTTCTCCCCTAGCCAAGAAAGGGAAAAGGAAGCCGGGGAGGCCGTGGAGGTGAGAGGACGGCGGGGGTCCGCCCGCGCGCCAGGTGCACCCGGGACCCCGCACCTACCTGCTGGCCGCCGCCGCCGCTGGAGTAGGACTCGGCGTGCGCAGGAGAGCCGCTGCTGCCCCGGGACGAGGTGTCAAAGTTCCCGGGATAATCCTGGTACATGATCCGCGGTGGGGGCCCGAGAGGAAACAGGGTGTCTGTCTGCCCCCGCCCTCGCCGCGGCCGAGCACCGGCTGCTGCGCGCTCGCTCCGCCCGGCGCGCCCGGGGCTCGGGTCTTCGCTCCGCGGCTTCTCCCCTGGCGCGGCGGGCGCGGGGCGGGAGGCGGCGACGCGGGCAACGGTGCCCCCGAGCGCCCAGCGCTGCGCTTCTCCCCTGCTCCGGGCGCGCGGCGGGACCAGTTGTCCACCCGGTCCCTCCCTCTAAAAACTCGGCGCGTCCCTCGGTCCCTCCCCTGCGCGCGCCCTCCCGCCCCCGCGCGCAGCCGGAGCCCAGCCGGGACCGCCGGCCCGGCCAAAAATTGGAAATTAAAAAGGAAAAGGAGTCCGGCGAGTCCCGCCTGCCGCGCCTGGGGCCCGCGACCGCGGACCCGGCAAAAAAAGAAAAAAAGGCGAAAAGAAAGGCTGCCCGCTTGGAGAAACTTCTATTTCCTCCTTTCCGAGAGGGAGCTGAGAATAAACTTCCTGTGGCCGACTCCCCGCCGGAGTTTCGGAGCGGCTCGGACCTCGCCGGGGGGGGCGGCTCGCGCCCGTCCCGCGGCCCCTGGGCTCCCGCCGCGCCCGCGCGCACAGGGTCGTGGCCCCGCGGGTGCCGCCGCTCCGCGCCCGGCCCTGCGCCCCGGCCCCGCGCCCGCTCCCGGGCGGGCCCGCCTCTCGCGTCCGCGCGCCGGTCCCGGCTCTGCCCTGCGGAGCGCGGCTCCCGGCTCGCTGGTTCGCCCGGAGCCCCTGCGCTCTGCCCGAGATGAGTCACTACAATGGCACGAGTTCAACTCCACACTCTTTATTCTCCAGCCCTGTACCATGTGGATACATACACTCACGTCAACCCCAGACTCCACCTTGCGGGGCGGGGGGGCGGCGGGGGGGAGAGGGGGAGGAAGAGGCGCAGGAGGGGGCGGGCGCTGCGCCTCCCCGGCCCCGGCTGCCGGCCGAGCTGACGCCAGCCGCGCTCCCCGCGCGGGGACGGAAGGTGCCGGCGGGGGTGGGCGCGGGCCGCCGGCGCGGTCGGGGGGAGGCGGGGCGGCCCCGGCCTCCGCGCGCCCCGCCGGGGCCCTTGGTCTGTTCCATTGGCGCACGTTGCCAAAGATGGTCATTTGCGTTAGAGGACGCGAGTGCGGGTTTCCTCGCTTTCGGTGACGTGGAGGGAGAGGGATTCCCTCGCCGGCTCCCGAGCGCGCCGCGGCCGCCCCGAGCCCCCGAGCCCCCGCCCTGGGAAGGGCCGCGGGCCTCGGCTCGCAGGGTTAGAAAATAATCGGTCCAGAAGGGCGAGACGGCGTCCAGCGCGGCGCCACCGCGAGGCCAGGAGCCGGGCGCGCAGAGCCGCTCGCAGCGAGGGCGCGGCCCGCGGTCCCCGGCGCCCTCCCCGGCGCCTCCCGGTGCAGCGGGCGCCCGGGGCGCACCGAGGACCCGCGCCGCCCCGCGGCTGGGCCTGGGCGGGCGCGGCGCCGCCGGGCGGGGCTGGCCGGCCTACTTTTCCCTCCGTGGCTGGCTGCCCGCTGCTTCCCCCCGCCCTTTTTTTTTTTTTTTTCGGTCCTACAATTAATTTATAAGGAGTAGCCTTAAGACGAAATTAACTCGTCAAGACATCCCGGCCAGGCCATCAGGGCGCATCTAATAGTAACCGGGTATTACAGTATAAGCAAAGTCCAGACTTAAGGAATTAAAAAGGGAAATAAAATAAACAGGGATGGAGGGGGATTCGGGCGAGGGTGCGCGCCCAAGGCTGTCTCCAGCTGTTTGGGGGCGAAGTTCAGGGAGCAAGGTGGTGCGGACGTGTGGGTTCTTCCCGCCTCGCTGGACCGGGCGGGACCGGGTGCAGGGTAAAGAACACAGGCCTTGGAGTACGAACTCCAGGCTATTGTGTTTATGAACTGTGAGACTTTGGGCGAATCCCTTAACCTTTCTGGGCCTGTTTCACCCTGTAAAATTCAAGTGTGGGGGGCAGATGACCTTCCAAGGCCCTTGCCGGCTCTGGAACTTCAGTCCTTCTGCAACGATGAGCTGAGGAGCCCGGTACGACCTGGCAAGGAATGTGCGCTCCGGTCCAGACTCTGCCTTGTTCTGGGTTTACCCACCTTTCAAGTGGCACCATCTGTACCCCCGCAGGATCCCCGTGAGGACCCGACCGTGTGATGTGTGGAGAATGCAAAGCGCTGTGCACCGTGACACGCCGCAGTTCCGGCCCTCAGTTTCCTTATCTGTAAAGTGGAGGTGTTGCTAGGAAAGAAAAATAGAGCCGGGAACTCAAGGCTTTCCCGGGGCTCTATATAAAGCGCTGGCGTTTCCGGGACGGCTGGCGGCATCTGGCTGCCCCAATGGCCCCAAGATACGGTAATCCCAAACAATACTCGGGGTCATTGTTTACAGCCATAAAACACATTCTGTCCTGAGCTGCGTCCCCAAGGACGCGCGTGGCACGGCCGAGCTACCCGGGCTCCCTGGGCCCCCGCGTCGCCCCTGGGCAGAGCCCGCACCTCCGCGGAGGGGCTCGGGGCGCAGGGCAGGCGGGTGCGCAGCGCGGAGGCTGGGGGGTGGGGGGGCCTGGGCTATTTTTTGTTTTTGTTTTCAACCCCGCGTCCTGCCCGCCTAGGCGTTTACGCGCCTCTCCCAGCAGGACTGAGTAACTGCAGTCCTTTGACGCAAACCCGATCAGCCCTTTCCCCAGCGGCAGCAGCGAAGCCCTGAAATCTGGGGGTGGGGACGAAGTGGGGGGGTGGAGCACGGGAGAAGAAATCGTGACACTCTCTCTCTTCGTCCCCTCGGGCGCCACACGAGCCCCGGGCCGCCTTGGAGAGGTCTCGGGGGCGCGGAGTCGGGGCGCGGGGAGCCCTGCCAGGGGGGCGCAGCCCGGGCCTCCCGGGAGCAGCCTCGTGTCAGGCGGCGCGAACAGACGCCACTTTTGGTTTTCCTTTGAGCAGCAGCGGTGCCCAGCCCCCACCCCCCACCCCGCGCTCGAAAATCCGGGCGCTTCTGGGTCTCTCCCACACAGTCCTTCCAGTAATGCGGGGGGGTGGGGGGAAGGAGGAGGGGAGAGGGAGCAGGAGCTTCCTCCAGGCCTCCGCGGTCCCGGGCGCGCCCCAGCCGGGGAAGGCGCCGCCGGGAGCGCGCAGGCGGGCGAGCGCACCCTCGCGCCCCCGCCCGCCCCCGCCCGCCCTGCCTGCTCCCCGGCCCTTTTCTTTCTTGTGGGTTCCCGTAAAGCCCGGCAGCCCCGAGACGTCTGCAGAGCATCACGGAATCTGTGCTGATGCAAGTCGCTAGCCTCCCTTGGGTGCGCCCCGGCCTGCCTCGGAGCGCTTTGATCCCCGCCTTCCCCTGCTCCAGAACTTGCGTTGGCTCCCTCTGCCCGCGCGGAGGCCGCGCCTGCACCCTGCGCGCACCTTCCAGTTCAGCCGGACACAGAGCGGCGACCTGGGGTCCAGCAGGTCCGCTCGTGCCTGGGTCGAACTGTCAAAGCGAGAGTTCAGCCTCCAGGCCCACTTCGCTGCCCACTCCGTGGGGGGAATCATTCCGGGTTTACCCACTGAGAAGGGTCCTCAGGCTCCCCAGAGCAGCGCACTGAGAATACAGACCAACCTTTGCTGAGCTCTTACCAAGAATAGGGCACCATGCTACGTGCTCCCAGGGACCGTTCCTGCAAGCGTCCTAACAAACAAACCCTCCTTAAAAAAGAGAGAAAGAAACGGTGGGCATTCCCTGGTTGCAGATAAAGAAAATGAGATTAAGGAATGTGTCCGGGAAAGTGGTTAGTGAATGAGTGAGCCGGTTGCTAGTGCAGCTGGGTCTCTAGGACAGCAGGCTCTTCCTCTTACCCAGGACAGGGTAAGAGGCTCCTAGCGGGATGTCTTGTTTCACCTTGCTGGTCTCCAGAGAGCATGGACTTCATCTGGCGCATGGCTTTGTCCTACACTTAGGTGCTCAGCTCCCTAATTCTCTGCTGAATGCAGCCCTGCACTCAGAAAAAAAAATATTGGGGTCAAGTGAAGAAGGGCAGGTGGGCTGCTGCTGGGGGTGGGGGGTTGGGAAGGGAGGCTTGAGGCTTCTTCTCATCATCTCTCTGGGACAGCCCTGTCCTGCAATCTCACCCTGGCTGCCCCCGTGGGTGCCACTGGGTCACACACCTGGCCCTTTCGCACACATGGCCACTCTCACGCTCACACAGTGCCCCTGACTGGGATGTGACAGCAGGCAGAGTGACTCTGGATTGCCAAAGAGGACACCGAGGAACAGAGTGGCCAAGATCTCCTAGAGATTCCCCAGCCTGTGGGTGTCAGAGCCCCACCCCAGACCCAATCTCACCCAACCTCGTACCCAGTGCTCTCCCTGTTCCCTAAGCTCCCAGCCCCAGCGAGTTAGAAGTAAACTCCATTTCTTGATGATGACTGTCAAGACCCATCTCCTCCCCTGCCCCGCCCCCTCCTCCATCTCTGGCCAAAAGTTGGCCTCCAAGAACACTGAAGAGGGCAAGAAAGGGTGGACATGGAGCTGGTGGACATGCGGTGGGTGCACTCAGCAAGCGGGCAGTAACCCGCAGAGATGCTAGTAAACCTAGAGCATTTTGGGATGGGGGAGATGGTCCATCAGTGGTCGTTCACCTCCTCCCCAGTGAGAGTGAGCCTCAGAGTACTCCACACAGCCTGGGAAACTGCACCCCCCTCCTCTGACTCCCAGATATAGTAAGCCGCTATCCTGAGGGCATGTGTTGTATCCCGCTGGTGAGGGGCCAAAAAAGGTTGAGAACCACTGATGCAAAGAAATCAGCATCTGGGCGAAGGCTCTGAGTGAATGACATAGCAATAATGCTCACCGCCTCTCTATGGGCTTGGTGGACCTCCTTTGAATTCCAAGGGGGGGGGCCCATAAGCTTATGTATTCTGAGATGTGACTGGTGCCTTCCACAGCTTCCATTTCATGCATAGGATGAGAAGAAACTAAAACAAGGAAGTCAAGCCACTCTACAGGCAATCCTCATAGCGATAGGAAGGCCGGCTATTCCCAGTCTGGCTGGTGGCTACATGCCTGTGTATGTGAAAATTCACCCTAAAATAAGGGCATTTGATTTTCTTTATTGCATGCTACCTTTGATTAAAAAAAAAAAAACAGCAGGGCCTCCCTGGTGGAGCAAGGGGTTAAGTCTCAGCACTATAAAGCTATCTGCAGTTTGGGTTGGATGCCCAGCCAGAGAGTGATCCACATGGTGCAGCAGACCTCTCCTGTCTCACCAGCTGCTCCCCTCAGCAGTGTATTTCAGTAGATCTGCCTGTTCTGCTCCCCACTTTGTCTCTGGTGAATCCTTTGCCCACTCCTTTGACACCTCTGGCCTGTACCCCAGTTCTTGTATGCATGAATAAATAAATCTTTAAAAAAATAAAATAAACAGCAAACAACACAACCACACTGAGAGTTGTATTGAGACCAACCACACTGAGAATTATACTGAAGTTTGTAAGAAACACTCAGAAAGTACCATGCAAATGAGGCCCTCCTGGCCACCTGCTGACAGCCCCTGGGAGACTCAGGAGTCTGTCGGAGAAAGGGGAGAAAGAGG